ATGGAGAGACAGAGAGAGAGAGAGAGAGAGGGGGGGTGAAACAGAGAGAAAATGCAGGGGAAAGGGAACGAAAGAGAGAGAAACGTGTAAAGATAGAAGAGAGAGAAAGAGATCGACACTCCACCCCGTCGGTGTAAGGGCTTTGCGCAGTTATAAATGCGGTTTTGTATCTAGCTTTACAGGACAAAGTAATGGGCTTAGATAATCCTGATTTAATAAATCGAACAGTTGCGGAGGGAGCGTTTACAACGCGTGACTAACGCGTTCAAAAACAAGATGAATGACGCGACACGTCGAAGTGCCACCGCCTGCTCTCGCATTTACATTTCGCCACTGTATCTCCGGATGAGGGGGGGGAAAAAAAAGAATGTCCTAAAAATGTGGATACAAAGCTGCGTAGGATTTGTCGGAGTCGACAAGAGCTAATTTTCTTTCTTTCTTTTTTTTTTTAGGGGTTTTCGAGGGAGTATAACTTGAAGGTATGTTAAGGGGATACGCGAGCAATTTTGTAAAAACAAAATGGATTTATTCTTTTTGAAAATTATTAAAGATAAATTAATTTGATCTTTCTTTTTTATTAATTAAGAAAAAATGTGTAAATTTTAAGCTATATTTGATAAATTGTAGTAACTTTGTATGAGTTTTTGGGAAGCAAATCAAGGAATATTAGGTAATTATATATTTTCCAATAAATGTTTCGGAAGATTCGTAATTTTTATTATTAAAGATTGTATATTCTTTGGAAACTTTCCAGAACTTTTATGAAATTTCATACTAAAATCTTCAAGATAAATATTTAAGAAATATTTGTGAGATTGTTAAGAATACTAAAAATTGTTGAAAAAGATTTGGATTTTTTTTCTATTTCTTTTTTTTATATTACAAATGGAGATGAAAAAAAGTAATTGATAAAGGGAATGAATATTTAGCGCATAACATTTTGACAAACGGGGCCACTTCCATTGTTCTAATGTTAACGTTCAATTTGAGGCCAATGTAAACTGCAGAGAGATTTTAATGGCTTATTATCGGTTACTTGCGTCACGTTTTGGCTCCATTACGGTCTATTAAATTAGAGGTAATTCCTGGTTAAACAGTGCGCCGCCATAATGTTAGCCGAAAATCAATTCTTACAGGGTGGTGGGACAATTTCTGCTCCGTTTAAGGACAATTCGTCATTAAATCGAATTAATAAATAATAAACCGTCTAATATAACCAAATTTATTGATATTTCCAAACAAGATTCATTTGTATTCACTATTATATATAGTCGTAGACTGTGCACATCTCGCCTATAGTGAATATGAAATTTGATTTATTATACGTACTTACGTTTCACGAAACATTTACCCGTACTACTTACAACTAAGAATATAAATGATTCTTGAAACGTATGAATTAAATTATTTTCCCATAATTAAATACACGAACGAAAAGTAACGATATTTACACGGTTATTAATCATCATTAATGATAATAAAATCTCACAAAATTAAAAATAAATCCATAACTTGTAACTTGCCAAATTACAATCACATTATTCAATTATAGATATCATTTATGCAAGGGAATATTCGAAATCTCGATTGTAAGATATGCGAATAACAAATCTGATAAAACAGCTTCCTCGACGAAAAAAAAAGAAAAACATTTCGTCCGAATTTAATAATTCGTTTGCCCGATTTCGGGTCGCGATATGTTGATCGAGTGATCGATCGAACGTTTTATCACCGCCGATAAAAGCGAAGAGAGCACAATAAAAGAGATAAGCGGGAACCAATGTAGCCAAGAATCAATTTTTATGTATTGCGAGTTCACGAAGACGTCCGGATTGAAAATCGTATCCGAAAACCAGATTTTCGTTTGCTCTATCGTTACACTCGGCCCCGCGAGAACTCTACTTTATCGTCGAGCAACAACTTGTTCAAATTTTATCACCCTTGCTATCATCTTTTTCCCTCTTGATTCAACTAAAAGCAATTAAATACAGAAACATGACTCAAGAAATAAAGATTAAATACAGTCGAGACTTATACGAATTCTTCAAATATAATAATCGTATATACACGTATTTCTAAGTATACTCAAATTTTGTATTTAAATATCCTTACTCTAATTACAAATATTCGTACATCGTTTTCGTACATTTTCAAATTCAATATTTGACTATTTCCACTATTTATTTATTTCCAAAGTTACTTAAGAATCGGAATAAAACTCGTCAAAAATATCGAGCTCGATAATAAAGCTTAAGGTTGTCGAACGGCTATCCCCTGGTATTGGAAAAACTGTGAGACAGAAAGGGTTAAACGCAGAGGGATGGACGTTTTACCGGTGGCGCAAACGGCGGCGTGGCAGTCAATCTCGGCCAGATTGTCCCAGCCTTCCTTCCTCTCCGTTATCTTAATTCCTCGAGTGTTTTAATTTTCATCCGAACAGCTATTAACTTTTACGGCTGGCCGTTTACTTTTTAATTCGTTTACCGCCTACACGCCGGTTGCACCAACGCCGACGCGCCCGCTTATATCTTTAATTTAAGCTCTCGACTTGGCGGCCATTGAACAAGGCTGCGGATTGGCGAGGAAAGAGGGGCGCCACGGGGGTGGAGTTTAGTTGGGGTCACGCGGCGCTCGCCGCTATGGATAGAGGGTGGTTTGTGGGTGCAATCGGTACGCTCGAGTCCCGCCGCTCCCCTGGCGCCCGTTACGTTAATTAAATACATTGTTGCGGGGACACGGCCTCTCCTCCCGCGTATTTCCAGCTTTATAGATGTACAGGCGGGGG